AAGAGCAATTGGCCGATAGTTCTTGCATTCCTTGGCATCTTTGTTTGGTTTCAGTATTGGCACTATAATTGATATCTTCCAATTCTTTGGTAGTTTACCAGTTTGCTATGCAATCTTCAGTATTCTTAGGAGTTAATTTTTAGCTTCGTCTCCAAAGTGTTTAAGCATTTGACCAAAGATTAGATCATCTCCTGGTGACCTCTTGTATCTAACTTTTCTATTGATGAGTTTAGCTCATTCAGTGTGAAGTCTCTCGAGTAAATATCTTGTTGATGGTAATTCATTGCTTGTTTAACTAACCTGTTTACATTATTTTTTTAGAGTCCTGCCTTCATTCGTATAGCTGAGTCTGGAAGTGCTTGAAAGATATTCAGCAATTATTTCAGCCATCTGTTTGTTCGTTCTCGCTATTCATATCGGTTAGAGTATTAGAGGATTAGTGTTGGTTTCGATGGTTTTATAACACTAATTATATTCCAGTGATGGCTTTCCTTTTTTGGATCCATTTTTTTCGCAGAATTCTGCCCATTATTCTTGTTTGAATATCCAAATTTCTTGTTCTATTTTGTGACTAATTTCAATGAGTTCCTTTATGATTTCTTCTGTTTTATTTGTTTTAAGAAGTTCATTGGTATTGTCTCTCTCTGCAATCATTGCCTCGATATTGTGGTCCTTCCAGTAAAGTATTCACAGGTCTTTACGTCTACCTCTAGGTATCGATACTTTTGCAGCTTTGGATATGATCGAAGAGAATTTTTCCAATTTTTTGTCAATCGTTCTGTGATTTAATTATTCGTTGCACAGTTCTTCAAGATTTTCTGTGAATATTTTTCCAGTGTTATTTTATTCTGTTGGAAATTCTCAATTTTAAATTTTAGGGTTGTTAAAATTGGTCTGTGGTCACTGATTGCACTCTTCAGAAATTTCCATTGTGTTGTGGGAGCGATGTTGTAATTTATCGCTGTGATGTCTATTGCGGATTCTGTGCCTGTGGACTCGGATAGGTAGGTGTTCTTTTCGTTATTTAACGGTGTAAGGTCGAGGTCGGTTAGCATATCCTCAACCTGCTGACCTTTGTTATCCTGGACAAGTGATCTTCAAGTTGGTCTTTCGGCGTTAAAATCACCAAGTATGATTGCGATATCCGAAGACGCTTCACTTAATGTCTCTATCAGGCCTGTATTGATGCTAGTATTATCGTGGTGATAAACATTTATGATTGGAATTGTTTCATCTGTAAGATAGATTTCTATTGCCTGAGTTTCTGTCGTGCTTTCTCTAGGCTTACTCTGATTATAGGCGATTTCCTTAAATTTGATTTCTAGAGTTTTAATCAAAACAGCAAGTCCTCCTCCGAATTTTCCCGGTCTGTCCTTTCGTAGTGTTGTATAATCTTTGATATTGAATCTCAGATTCTGATTCATTTTTTTCTCCTGAGGACAAGTAATATGTACATTGTTGTCACAGAGAAGAGAAGTCAGCTCTTTATTTTCCTCTGGGTACCATTTATATTGAGTTGTAGTAGATTGAATTGTGTCCTCGTAGTAGATTTCTCATCATGAGCTCGAGCTGCAGCTCCTGACGCGGCGGTTACCCCGGACGCGGTAGCATTACTGGAGATATCAGTTTTGCTCCTCATTCGAAAATGGGTGCCGTTGCAACGTTAGTCATCTTGGAAACGAACCAGAATTTGGTCAAATATTCCAAGGGTCCAGGGGGGACCGCAAGGAGGTGTGGTCGGACTTCTCCCCTTCCCCCTGGAATGCCGTCACTACAGGATAAAGCACTCTTGGTGAATTTTTTAAATTGTGATTCAGAATCTGCCACTGAAACTTTTCGAGGGTTTTGTTCCTTTAAAGATATTCGAAGCGGTAAAGGACCAATGAGTTGCTACTCTCTAAAGCGATTGATTAAAAGTTTTGAGGAAACTGGATCTCTGGAGGCAAAACCTCGGAGTGGAAGACCATCGACATGCAAGTCAGTGGCTGTTACGGTTTTGCAGAATGTTGAAGCTATTGAAACGTTATCCACGTATGGAGAAGTAAGTGCTAGACAAGTTTCTCGACAAACGGGGATTTCGTATGGAACAGTTTGGAGAGAATACACATTTAGAATTTTTCTATAAAAATACCCTAACAAAATTCAAAGTTTTCACGAGTTGAAAGTCAGCGATTTTGAGAAGCATCAAGAATTCGCTGCATGGGTTTTCCGGCAAATTGATATTGATGAAAACTGGCTGTCAAATGTTCTAAGAACAGATGATGCTCACTTTTATCTAAAGGGAGAATTTAACATTCAAAACTGACTAATTTTGGCAACAGAAAACCCTAGGATTTTTACAGAAATACCACTTCATCAGCACACAGTTACAGTTTTGTGTGGGCTCACTTTTTCTTTTATTATTGGGCCATTTTTCTTTGAAAAAATAAATGGAAGAACTTTTAAACCGTTTTTGTAACTGGTGAACGTTATGTTCAACATTTGAGAGAAAAGGTTATTCCCATATTGCAGGACAGACAAGCACTAAGCGAAATAACATTCATGCAAGATGGAGGACCTCCTCATATCTCCCGCGGTGCCAAACAATTGCTGAAGGATACGTTCGGTGAAATTCGTTGATAAGTCGCCACTTTATATGCCAGTGACGCCTTACAATTTCGGTTATGGGGGTACATTAAGTCGCGTTTTTATCGATGCCGGCCTACCACATTGGCCATGTTGAAGGCTTCTATCAGATGGCACGTTTTATAAATTTCAACTATTTAATTGTGACCATTCTGTCCTCTATCGTCTGCAGGCGGTGTTTGAGAAGGAAGGGCGCCACATTGAGCAAGGATTGTGACCTAATACAAGAGAGAAGGCAGTTACCTCATGTGTTATATTTTGCAGCTCTTTGTTTTGGGTTATGGAAATAATAAATGCTGTCCTCACATCTTGACTCTTTTGTTTTCTGTGAACACAATTTTTTGTTTGCCATTTGCCCACATCTTATATTATGTCGTGCAGGCCAAAGTGTTATAACTTCTCGAATAACACTGGTATACACAATTTTACCCCTATGTTTAGTTTATCGCTTTTCGCTCATTAGAAGAAATAGCATAAGGAATATTCTCTGTATCCCCCCCAACTTTAGAAATTTTGCGCAAAAAATAATACAAAATGATTTTACTACCACGTTTTCAACGCAAAAAGTCGATTTAAAAATGATTTTTTTTGAGGGGATACATTTTCAAAATTATGTACAAAATGATAAACAATGATAACATTTGACAAACCCATAGGATATTTGGAATAAAGTACGACAAATATATTTTTCACTCCCCTCTATATTTCATTTGTTGGATCATGACAAATATCCAGTTAAATAATCAAGTGTCGCCAATTAGTCAAGAAACTACACATTCCTTATAGCAAGAAATCCTATTAGTAGTGCCATCATAATTTTTGGTACTATATTAACATTTAAAAAATCGTGTATTGATATCAGTAGTTATTTTCAAACATTCAATCCATTTCACAAGACCCCATCTAAAATATCAGTTTTTTTGTTTTTTTTTTGCTACATGTTTTAATTTGCATATACCTATTTTACATATCTCAGATTGTATTTAAAAATCGTTAACCATTTCTTCTAACTTTTGGCGAAATGGTGTTTTATTAATTTATCATTTGATATTATTAGGGTTCTTTCCTGGTATTCAAAAAGGAAAAATACGTGTCGTTCAGTTATATTTTTCAATTTATCAAACAATTTGGACGCTGAATCTCTGATTCTGGTAGAGCGCCATCTAGCGAATAAAGTTGTAACTAAAATCAATTTCGAATTTTTCATTATTTGCCATAAAAAATCCCATTGCATCCTGAACACAATGGTGTTTACCGCATTGCTCTAGCGCAAATATTCGCGGAGTTATTAATTTTTAAAGTTGTGCGGGACTTTTGGATCACCCTGTAGAACAATCCAAATTTAAAATCATTAGATTAAAAAAAAAGGCAAATATTGGCAAATACATCTCTTATTCAATTCAATATATATGCCTTTTTATTATTCTATATACAGTTACGAGCGTCATTCCTCATCGGCCTCTGTCACCGTTTCACGCCGAAAGCTAGTGAAATTTGGAATGCTTTAAAAGATTTATATGAACAATCAAATTTGTCAAATAAATTATTTCTATTATCAAAATTATACAGAATGAAAATTGAATCAAATTCAACCATGCAAAACTTTATTAAGGATACAATGGAAATATAGATGGAAATTTTTTTCCAAGAGGATATTTATCTATAAAGATAAAGGTCGCCTCTCCCGCCAAAATAGACGTCAAAACTAGACGCCATCTATTGACCGTCGCCGCAAACTAGCTGCCTCGGGTCGGTGACAAAGTCTCGACACCAGCTTTGGTAAACTGAGAAGCGTCCACCTAGAGACCATGGTTTCGGGCTAATATCCCTGGTCAGCCTAGGGCGGACTTTTATTCCATGAGATCCACAAGGGATCCAATGGAATCCTCACAATCTGCTTAGAAGGTGTTTAGCTGGTAAAGTGATTAGCCAAATCTATGGCCGAAATATAGATGAAAATTTTTCCGGGAGGATCCCTATATATAGTCACGACCGTCTTTCCTCATCGGCCTCTGTCACGGATGCGCGCGCACAGGGAGGTCACGTGCTCGCCGGCAGCCAATAAAAATTAAAAAAAAAAACTCCCTCGAGCCGGATTTGAACCAGCGACCTAAGGATCACCGTTGTAACATCTACAGTCCTCCGCTCTGCCAACTGAGCTATCGAGGGATACAAACTGTATGAATAAATTTACCTTATGAAGTCAACTAATCCTATTTCTACACAAAATGTACTCATACATATATTATATTATATTATTATTATTATCCCTATATATAGTCACGACCGTCTTTCCTCATCGGCCTCTGTCACGGATGCGCGCGCACAGGGAGGTCACGTGCTCGCCGGCAGCCAATAAAAATTAAAAAAAAAACTCCCTCGAGCCGGATTTGAACCAGCCTCCTAAGGATCACCGTTGTAACATCTACAGTCCTCCGCTCTGCCAACTGAGCTATCGAGGGATACAAACTGTATGAATAGGTTTACCTTATAAAGTCATCTAATCCTATTTCTACACAAAATGTACTCATACATATATTATATTATTATTATTATATATATATACTAGCGGATGTGTACCCGGCTTCGCCCGGGTTTTATCCGAGTGAAAGTTTGCCTAACGAATATTATTGATAATAATATTCGGGAACACACAGAATATTATGATAATATAATTCGTTATGTCATATATTTATATAATACAATTATAAATTGGCACCATGGATGTCACTCTTGTGAAACGTCCCGTTCCAAACTGTGTGTTTTTAAAATGTTTTAATTAAAATACTATTCGTTACAATTATAAATTTGAACGATAGGCTCATTATTTCTTTATACCGTTATTATACCGTTATATTATATATATTATATTATATATATATTACACGTTATTTGTTTTCTTGGCCGACTGTTTTACATATGGTGTTTTCTTAAAATTGCTTGTTTTGAATATTTTTTAGATTGAGATTATTAGCTAGTATGTAAAAAAATTAACTCTGTTGAAATTTAATTTTGTATTTATATATAAATAAAATTAACTCTGTTGATTTTTTTTGCATTTAATCGATAACAGCGAAGTTACGCATGTTAATGTTAGGGAAAAATATTTTGATGTTAAGCAAAACCTGCTCCATCTCGTTTTACATAAATGTTGAAAATTTGGTCGATATTGATGCATTGTAACGAAAGTTTTTAGTGAACAACACTTATGAAATTTCCATTTTATTAATATAGATATAGTCACGACCGTCTTTCCTCATCGGCCTCTGTCACGGATGCGCGCGCACAGGGAGGTCACGTGCTCGCCGGCTCCCTCGAGCCGGATTTGAACCAGCGACCTAAGGATCACCGTTGTAACATCTACAGTCGGGTAAAACACGGGCGTTGCCCGGGTCATTCGGCTAGTATTAATAAATAAAGATAAAGGCCGCCTCTGGAACGAATTAGAGAATCTTCCTTTAAGTAAGAAAACAGAATGGCTAAATGCTTCAGAAGAATAGATGAAATCTCTTATAGAAAATAATAAGTGGACTTTTAACTCACCTCCCGCATGGACAGAAAACAATAAGATGTAAATGGATTTTTAAAGCTAAATACAATAAGATGTAAATGTTAAAAGGTTAAAGCAAGATTGGTTTCTGAAAGTTTTGATCAAAAATATGGTTAAGATTACAACGGAACCTTAGTCCCTGTAACAAAATTAAGCACATTAAGAACTATGTTTTCTATCGCTGCATCTAAAAAAAATAATCATTAGACAATATGAGATCAAAACGGTCTTTCTATATGGGGAATTTTATGGAAGAGATATACATGGATCAACCAGAGGGATATATTCATGTAGGGAAGGAAAACCTAGTGTGTAAACTTAACAAATCAATTTATGGGCTGAAACAACCAGCAAGATCCTGGTACCAAAAGGTTAATTAATTTTAAGGACTATAGGATTTTCTCAAGCAAAGTCAAATCCCTGTCTTTATACTAATAGTCAATTTGGATATGTGTAGATATGTAGATGATTTTTGATCTGATCTGTTTTGTTTAAAGATAATATATCAGTGATATATTATTACTTGACTCTGTTTTGATTCGAAACGAATTTTAAAATTCTGTAATGTTCTTGTTCAACTTTAGAACCAATGAAAATATCATCTAAGTATACCACCGTGTTGAAAACTTCATTGAAGAGTTTTCTAAGGATGTTGAGCTTCTACTCAAAATACATACCTAATATGTCAACTTTGGCTGGTCCTCTTTATCAACAACAACAACAAAAAGCCTTTATTTAGGGTCACTGACCCTATACAGGATTCACCAGAGGTATGCATAAGAACAAAGCAGTGAGACAAAGGAAATAACGATATAGACAGAAGAAAAAGAAAAAAAAACAAGAAAGAGAAAGAGGGAAGCAAGAAAAACAACACAAAAGAGTAGCAGTAAGAAAGTGAGGAGTGAGTGTCACTTGGCCTTCTTCTGAGATATGGACTTGTGGAAACCATAAAACGCCGTAACAATATACTTATTCTGGGTCATATTGTCAATTATTGATGGAAGTGAAGCACAGAGTTGCCCAGTTTTGAGCATAAGGGTTCTTCTTTCTTCTTTCAGAGCAGAGCAATCAAAAATATAGTGAGTGATTTCATTTTTTAGTTTTGAATTACAGAAGGTACAAATCGGGTCCTCACCGCAGAGCATCTTGGTGTGGTTTTCTCTAAAAAAACTTGAAAGTATTCTAACTTGTGCGAGTAGTCTTACAACCGGGAAAGGAAAATCCCCTAAAAGGTATCCCTCCGTCATGAAAGATATGTGAATGTCTTTGTAGTGAGAGTATAGCTTAGATTTATCCATTCTTGTAAGGTCGTTCTGTATAGATTGGTCTGCCGCTGTTTTTAAGAGCCCTGTAATGGCGCTCCTCAGCGTTTCAGGATCATCACAGGAAACAAGTGCAGGGGATCCATTATTGTTAAGCAGATTGGTGAGCTTTTTAATGAAACCGATGGGTGTGCCCGAAGCATTAGACAGTTCCCGTGTTCTATTAAAACATATACGCGGCAATCTGTTACTGCTCATATTCAACACCCGCAGCCAATACTTCAGGGTTAATTTTAAAGCTGTTACACTCAATGAGATACGACCGGTTTCTAATCTGATTATGTAGCCTGGAGTGTATCTGGGCAGATTCAGGAACCTACGGATAAATATGTCTTGTATACTGTCCAGTAAGTCTTTATGCTCTGTTGCCCACAATGGAGCTGCATACATCAGGACAGCTCTCACTATTGTATCAAAGAGTTTGTTTGATAAATTTATTGACTTTGCTTTTGATTTTATTAATATTGGGTGTGTGGCGTTAATTGCTGTAAGTGCTTTTCCTTTAAAGTAATTTGCCGGGTGAGTAGTTGTTATTGTTGGTGTCAGAGGGAATCCCAAGTATGTATATCTTGAAGTTATTGTTATGGGTTTATCATTCCAGAACCATCTATCCTTATTTGAGGGTTTACCTCCATTACGGAACACCATAATCTTTGACTTGGACTCATTTAGTGTCATTAAGTTCTCATCGAGATATTTTTTCAGTATTTTGATCTTCTTTTGGAGGTTCATCCTGGACTCACCTATAATTGCTATGTCGTCGGCGTACAGCAATAAATGGATATCTCCAAATTCTGGCAAATTTACACTCGGCAGGTCTGAATTATTATAAATTTCGATTAAGTCCGTGATAAATAATATAAAGAGCAGTCGGGAAAGTGGTTCACCCTGGAGGACTCCCGAGTTTATCTTAATACTTTCCGTAAATGATCCCTTCCATCTGATAGTTATAGTTGCTTGTTCGTAGTAACTTCTGATCGTACTTATGAATTGGTAACTTATGCCTAGGTTGTAAAGTTTTTTCCAAAGTATTGAGTGAGGTACAGTATCAAATGCCTTCCTTAGATCGACAAAAAGGACATATAGTTTTCCCCTCTTTTTTCTTAATGATAGTTGGATTAAAGTAGTTAGTGTAAATATGTGGTCATACATGATCTTAATTTTAATTTTAAATCCCGCTTGGTTTTCCGGTATAACCCTTCCTCCCTCGACCCATTCCTCCAGTCTTGATCTTAGGATTGAAGTGAAAAGCTTTGATACATTGCTAATCAGTGCAATACCTCGGTAGTTGGAGGGGCTGTTCTTATCCTGGAAGAAAACCTAACCAGGATCCTGACCACTCTAGGCCTCCGATGAGGGTATGAAAACAACTTTAAAATTGGGGGGCATTGTTAGCATTTTTATAAGTTGTTTTTTCATAGATTAATTTATTTATATGTTGACCAGATGACCGGACGATTTTACATGTATATAATTGGTTTTAAATGATGTAAATTAGTTAGTTATGAAAGGAAATTAAAAGTGTTGATTTTCTTAGAGGTGTTTGTGTTTACTCTGCTCGATGGTAGAATAGGAAAGTATTAGATCCTAACATAACAATATTGTAGAGTTGTTTCAACAGCAGTATGTACGAATCAGGGAGTATTTTTAATACTTCATTGGGGTTCTCTTTATCAACTACTAACGAAGGACAATCGTTGGAAATGGTCTAGCCAATGCGAAAAGGCATTTCTGAATTTGAAGTTAACCCTATTAAATTCCCAAGCGTTTATTCACTATTCAATCAAACTTCCATTAACTTTAACCTGCGATGCATCTGCCTATGGCATAAGTGGGGTCTTGTGTCATATTGTGGAAGGGGAAGAGAAGCCAATCATCTTTGTTTCCAGAACATTGTCCAAGTGCAGAAGCTAAATACTCTCAGACTGAGAAAGAAGCACTTGCTATTGTGTTTGCAACTTCCAAACTGAGACAATACTTGTTTGGGATAAAATTTGTGTTAAACAGTGATCATAAAGCATTAACGACTGTTTTTGGAACAAAAGACTTCTTCCGCCATTAATTGCTAATCGCTTGATAGGTGGGCTTTAGAGTTGTCAAATTTCGATTTCGATATTAGATATACAAATAAAGATACCATGCTCTGTGCGGATGCATTTTCAAGACTTCCACTTGAGGAAATAAATTCAAGGGAAGACAACATTGATTTGGTGACACATGATGTATCACTTTTAAATGTAACTCCATTGGACCACCTCATTATTGAAGAAGAAACCAATAAAGACCCGGTTTTAAATAAGCTCAAGGAATATCTATTAGAAGACCCTCAGTTAGCAAAAAAGGATGAAACAATGAAACCTTTCCTTTCAAAATTGGAATTTTTTTTCTATACTACAGGGATGCATTTTTGTTGATTCTAGGGCAGTGATTCCAAGAACCTGCCAAGATCAAATGTTGAAGTTACTTCATCAAGATCATATTGGAGTCAATCGCATGAAATCTCTAGCCAGATCTTCGGTTTGGTGGCCAAAAATGGATAGCCAAATTGAAGAGTTTGTGAAGGAATGTTCTCCCTGTATGCATCATCAGA